ATATCCCCCTATCGTTTCAAGGCAATGGCTGGACAAACACGTTTCCGCGGCAACAAAGGTTTTTTGGAGGCGTCGTTTTCTATTCGGGACTTCGCTTATCAAAGGAAATTAGGCGATTAGTTCTTCCCAGAACTTCATGTTAATCTTCTGACTCCATTGAACATACGGGTACTTCTCACTGAAAACCTAATAGTCGACGGGCTGGTTCAGAAATATCCCGCCTCTCATGGTACCCGAACGTTAATTACCGTGCTAAAATGAATCCGTCATTGGGCCACATACTGAATGAGATGAAACCCATGTATATAGTTATATCCTTCTTCATTAAGATCCATTTTAATATTATCTTCTCATGTCCGCCTAGGTCTTCCCTTCTGATTCAACGACTAAAATTCTAAGCGCACTTCATGGTTGTCTCGTGCATGCTACACGGTCCTTGATTTGACTGTGTTGACAACATTTCATGAGGAGTAGGCCTACTGGCCATGAAGCCCCTCTGTTCATTTCTGTTTCGTATCTTGGTACTTTCTTCTCCTTAAGCTTAGATGTTCTCCTCAGCATCCTTCCCTCAAGTAACCGCATTCTGTGTTCTGCCTACCAAATCAGGGCCTTTTTGACAAGTAGATTATCGACTCCTGACGAAACATCTGCTAGTTATTCAATGAGGCATATACTCGCAGATAAGCAGACAGGCATCCTGAAGATAAGGTTTTGGCAATATAAGAAATGAAAACGACGAATTTTATTTTGGAACACCTGTTAGAGACTGTCTCCTTTGTAGCACTGTCAAGGTAACAGTGACGTCATGAATAATCCCACAAATGTTAACGATCATTTTTAAGGCCATTAGTGCCTGCCCTGACCAATATTTAAACACTTTATAGACTGCATCCTGTTGTGTATATAATATTTGATGTTTATTTGTATTTTAACAGTCAACACAACACAATGAGTGGTATGGAAATATCTTCAATGGAGATAGTAAATATTAATGTACATTATGAACATAATTGTACATTATTTGTAATAAATAAGTAGAATGTACATTAACATCTTCTATCTCCATTAAAGATGTTTCCATACCACTCGTTGTGCTGTCTTGACGGTTAAAATATAAATAAAAATTGCATATTTGAAATTTTGCTGCAATGGGTAGGAAAGTTTCTTTCGTGTGCAGCTTCTAGGGACATCCACTTCGCAAGTGTACTCATCTTGACAGGAGACTGTATACTTAAGCCGGCTATATGAAGTATTTCGTGTATATAATCTGAAAAATATCTGTTCACACGTAGGGAGAAAACACGTTGGTGTAGTGGTAACGTCATAGAGCTGTGCTCTAGACGCCCTGGGTTCGAATGCTGGCAACTACACCGGTTGTCGTGGCTGAGGGTTCTCAAGAATTTTCGCGGCCCCTCCAGAATAATACCGGCATTTTACCTCCACTAGGCGACAATCAGTTCCTTGCAATTCTTCCTTCACGTATTTTCCCATTCTCAGACTCTATGTAGTTGTCATAATGTAAGCGTCGTTAAATAACCTACGAAAAAGATTACATGGAAGTCAATTTTGAGAATCTGTGACTAATATCAGAATCCAATAATTACTATTTAAATATTGGATCGTAGCATCACATTGTGTTTTATTATTTGTACAGAAATTATCTTCTTAGAGAAACACCTCAATGTTTCCATTAGGCTTCAGATCCTTCGGTGACTGTGACACGTAATGAAACGATTACATTTATAACACTATTTTATGACGAAAGATTGTCAAACTTTTCAGATGTTTTGTAGCTTCATGTGGTTTTTAGCTCTGAGCAAGGACAGTCCGGTAACGTAGTACGCACAAAAATATTTTGGTTTACGAATGGTGATATTATGGGGAAATAGATGGATTACACACGGAGTAGCAGTGTAATACCTGTATTTACAGTTCAACTGATAGGGCCCAGCTGTGAGGTCACGAGAACACGGTAAGGAAGCTTCTGTTACCGCAAGAGACGGGGGAATATTAGCATCTCGAGAAGGATTGTGCTACACGGAACTAGTTTTTTGTGGGAAGTTGCTTATACGAAAGCGTTATATAGTTTCTATGTGGCATTTACGATGCATTGAATAAGCTTACGTAGCTACGATTAGCCATACGAAAAAATGACATAAGTTTTATTCTTTAAAAATTTCCTTAAAAAGCATCTCTTTGAAGATGAGATGGTGATGGAATTTGAAATTAAAACGGATCTTAAGGAAAGCGATTTTAAATGTGGGAGGTAGGCGAGACAGGTTGCTCAAAATGGTGTCCAGTAACTCCACGACTGAGTAGGTTCAAACAGTTGCGTTTGATTTGTTTTCGATAACATCAGAATTTTTAAATTGAAGATTTAAGCCGAGTACTCCCAAATTATAATCTGCAAGTCTAATTTCTTAGTACCTAGTGTCTCCGCATCTGTCGTAAAAACACTGTTAAATCCGTTGTTCCATTCATTTGCTAAACGGACGCATGGTTGCGCAGAAGTTATTAAAATGACTACACTTGATTCTGGGGTTCGTAGCCTAAACCAAAATTTTCGTGTCAGAAATTAAGTCTTCACCGTGTTAACACGTTCTCTACAGAGATAATCTCCAGTTTACTGCGACTCACGCTTGTAAAACTTATACAAAGTATAAATAAATATATGTTACAACTCTCAGTGGTAGATACATGGGTTCAATCTGATCATATTCTGTTAATACACCCATGTCTGGAAACGCTTTGTTTACGCGCTAGGGCCTCTGAAATGTGAAGGAAGACGACCTTACCTCTTATCACTGCCGCTTACTGCCGACATTTACCTTTTTTTTTTTTAAATTCACTTGGTGGGGGGTAGTCCAACTGTGTCTACTCGGCACGGCGGCCACTGATTGGCCCATTGTTGCTTGCCCCGTGTGATTATGATGATGGAGAATTTGGTGGAATGAAGACTGGCAGAGGAAACCGAAGTACTCGGAGAAAACCCGCTCCAGCCCCACTTTGTCTACCACAAATCCCACTTGACCAGACCCGGGATTGAACCCGAGCCGCCGTGGTGGGGATATTCACCTAACATTTCTCCAAGAGACCTTACCCAAGCTGCTGGAAGCAGTGCGTTTGGAAGTCCGTCGTGGAATGTGGTTCCAGCATGATGGCGCCCCGTCACACTGCACTAATGTTGTCCGTGAGTATTTGGATGAAACCTTTGGCAACAGATGGATTGGACGTGGAGGCCCAATAACCTGGCCCCTCGCTTCTCTGACTTGACTCAACTGGATTTCTTTCTCTGGGGGTACATGCAAAGCCCAGTGTACGAGACTCCAGTGGAGACACAACATGATCTTGTGGCAAGAATTGCAGTAGCAGCTGGAACAGTCCGGGAAATGCCGGGAATCTTTCAAACAGTGCAGCATGACATAGCCAGGAGGTGGAGAACATGCAATGAAGTGTGCTGCTTCCATTTTGAGCAACTTTTATAATGTAAAACAACGATAACGTCCTCTAAAACTTCTTCATCCTCTCGGAAAATGTTGAGACACTTAGTGCCAAAAGGAAGCGTTTCCGGACATGGGCGTATTAACAAAATATTATTGAACCCATCTATCTATCGCAGAGCGTTTAACATATATTTATTTACACTCTGTATAATGTCATTAATGTATATATACTTGCTGTAAAAGCTTTATTTACGACACGTCCTCCTACACGGCGGACATCTTCGAAGAAATGAACGTGCCTCGGCTAGCCAGTATGCTTACCAAATAATTTCTTTTTCGATCCCGGGTCTGGTCAAGTGGGATTTGTGTGTGGACAAAGTGGCACTGGGGCAGGTTTTCTCCTAGTACTTTGGTTTCCCCTGCCAATCTTCGTTCCACAAATTGCTCCACAATCACCCTCGCCTATCATCTGGGGCTGGTACAATAGGCCAGAAGTGGCCGCAGTACAAGGGACTTAGTCCCACCCCACTAGCAATAAAAAATAACTTCTTTTGGAATTACTTTTATTTTGAAGAGTGTCTGTGGGACTATATTAAATCTTGTTGAACACAGGCCAAAAGTTACAGAAGGCAAAACATGTTGCCAAATTATTATTTTTTGCCGTGAAATGTGGAATAGGAAATGAGTGATTATACAAATTAAACACGAAACAACTGCACTGACAAAAAATGATAAACTTAACATGTGCTTTGTGTCAACAAGATTCTGTCTTCAAGACGTATTCTACTGCCCAATTAAATCTCTTGTCCTATGAATGTCTAACAACAAAAACTACTTTTCGATATGCTATATTTTGGAATTGTTTACTACGTGTTTACAAAATTCCTGTATCCTATTGTAAAAATACCTAGATTTACCATATGATAACATATACCGGTTATTTGGATTAACATCATTTTAATGCTGACATTTTTAAAGAAATTTCAGTAATATCTCATTCAGACCTACTAGAATTTCTGTCGTATTATAAAATTCATTCATACTAAATTTGTGGCTCAAGATCTCTCTTGATATCGAAGTTTTTAGTTACCTGGGTTATCATACTTGTAAGTGAATAAATTGGACATGAAATTTAATTTCTTTTTTTCACAAATTTGAGCTACTAGTCTCAGTCGTTATTCAGTTGAAAACATCCGGCTGATTAGCACTGTGATTCTCTGTCATTTATATCAGTATTATCTGCAAATCTATGACAATCTTCTAAACGTTGTCTCTTCTTACCACGAGATCTACTGCCTATAGCTTTGCACCATTTCCTTGTTTTTCTCATGTTTTTTAAATGGCATGCCCATATCATTCTAGTTTCGAAATTCGTTCGGTACTTCGGGTATCGTGGCTGTTGTTTTTGCGTTTTCCTTGGTGATTTTAGGGAAATATAGAATAGTATCTCGGTTAGTCGATCACAGCTTCTAGCTACATACTTTCCAATTAACCGTTCATTAATCATATTAATACTGGACGTTTAGTTTAGATACTCATAGAATAAAATAATCCACAAAAATATCTATTAGTTTTTATTTCACATTAGAAACGTTATATTGCATTTTAAATTTCAAGAAGTTAGAATTACATAAATTTGAACGCCCTTTCATGAAGATGCTCTAACGTCTTGTATTGCTTTGACGGTACAGATAGGGGAGCAACTTGGAGGCAGCTTACAGAATTTTGTGAAATTCTGATTTCCTAATGATGGACAAAAATTTTGTGAGTTTCGTTCATGAAGTTATCTTGCGGGCCACACCTGTAAATTCAGTGGCCCACGGACAGAAGTTTGCATGTCGCTGCTAGTATTCTTACTCAGATCGTCTAGATTTAAGGTTTGTTTGAGATAGGCAACTTCGTCTTTCTATTCTGTCGGCTTCACCGGCCCCTGAAACAAGAAAAGGAATGTAAGATTTGAGGTTTTCACAGCGGTGACTATGAAGCTAGCAGTCTTCTGGGATGTGGCGCTGTGTAGACTTGACTCAGTCTCTTGCACTTGCTCACGCTGGTTCGTTCGCGGATTCCTTCTTTTCTTCTACTCTGAAGATGGAGGTGATACGTTCCTCCGAAACGTCTGTTAACACAATATCTACACTGCACCACATCCCAGAAGACTGCTCTCTTCAAGTAAAGAATCATTAAAAACCATGTTTAATATCACACTCACAATGCCATGCTGTGCTGAGTAACTATTCAAATTTGCCGAGCTCGTGCAATTGAAGTGCCAACCATTTTGGAAGTTGTGATTAGATGAATTTCCGTCTATAGCAAAAAAAAAGAAGAAGAAGAAGGAATCAAATTTTGTGGCTTGAGTCCGAAAGCGAATATACCGACCGAGCGCCGCCGCTTGTCGACGAAGTTAGTGCCAACTTTAGCGGATAGAGGGTGTTGCATGATTAGCGAAACAAAACCGGACAGCCGTTAATTTTGGTTTTCTAGACCGGACCCGCTATTTCCTTGAAATAGCTCCTCAGTTATCCTCACGAGGTTGAGTGGACCCCGTTATAAACACACTATTTCTCAGAAAATCTGGTAGCGCCGAGAATCGAACCCGGGACCTCAGAATCTGTAGCCAGGAAATCTGACCACTAGACCACAGAGACGGTCATTTTCCGTCTATAGACTTATTTTAAATAAAGTGTGACAAGTTTCTCTTCTTCTTCCTTCTTTCCATCATTCCTAAACTTCGTATCATATTTCTTTTGACGCTGTACAATATAGAAATTAACCAGTGTACTTGGCAGAGCGTCGTTAAATATAAATGGTGGAGTTCACATATTTTGTAAGTACGTTGAATGCAATTTTGCACATTTCATTGGAATTTAGGTTAATGTATTGCAGATACTGCTCTGAAGATAATCAGAACTCTATGGATCATATTACGTTGGGTTGTGAATTGTATTGTGTAGGGTTCTGCAAAGCGAATATCACAGATATAATGACGCACAGATACGCATCTCCTTAAGTATATATCACATGAAAAATATCTCGAATATTGATTTGCAGCTCTTAATGAGGAATGTCCAATTTTCATAAAATAGAGCAGGAATTCAATACATAAATACAAAATTTAAATTAGTGGTTAGAACATTTGGTATCGGTATATTTGCAGATTAACTTTTGGTCGAAAGCACTGTTATGTTGTGCTTGGTGCCGAGGGAAAAAGAGTTGCAAAAAGTTTATTTTCTAGCAACATCATGAGCCGTGGAATTGATGAAATAGCAGACACAGGTTTTGGAAAATCTATATCTACTTGCATTGTATTCCGCTATTTGTTCAACGACACCACTGATGTTGTTCAGAGCTGTCAGTTGCTCGTCTGTTCTACATTTGTGAATAATGGATCTGTGAAGACAAAATCCTTACGTACAGGACACTGAAGTACGCATTAATGGCTTTTGGCATTTTGGCAAGTGTTTCTGATTTCTGAAAGAAAGTTGATTTCCTTGGGAAAACCTTCATCGTGTTTGCACTGATGGTGCTCCAGTGATACTTGGCTGTCCTCTTGGAATCATGACATCAGTAAAAGAAAACAATTCAGCCATTACTGGAACCCACTTCGCCATCCACAGACAAACCTTGTCTGTTACGATAACTTGTGCCATTCTCTGACTTAGGCTTTCGAAGTCATCAAATTTGTGAGCGGTGCTCCTAAAATACAGGGCCTTTCTGCAGCTCAGCTGTCTCCTTAAATCAATTCGATTCGGATCGCTTCTATTTACTTAATCTAAAAACTCAGAAAGTTATTCTGTTAACTGTTAAATTATGGTATGTTTGTCTCATTGTGTTTAGCGCAGTTATATTACCGTTACTGTGCAATTGGTTTGAACACGAGGCCTCTTTTTGTGACAGACTGCATTTCTGCAACTACGTTATAAATGTTTATCAAAATGGCAAATTTATGTATACTAAACTAATGTTTAATATTTTATATGTGGTTTTCAGCACACGGATTCAGCGAATCAGAACACGGGCAAAGACAATACACAATTGTTTATCATGAACTGTAACATTACATGTAAGAAACGAAATTTCATTCAACCAGGAAATGGGTGTGTCGTGATTATTTGTTGGAAACCAAAATGGCGAGTTGTAATTTGGAAAAGTATGGAAAAAATTGGTCCTCCCTATACTCACCAGGCACCGCTGGCGCTGGAACTGGAACTCTGAGACGAACTATAGGAGCCACTACCACTATGACCCCCTCCGCCGCCGCCTCCACATGTACTACAGTAGCCACCACCGCCCCCAGAAGATGGGTAGTATCCACCGCCGCCACCTGAAGGGTAACCACCGTACCCGCCTCCACCAGACGGATAATATCCGCTACTACCGCCCCCACCACATCCGAACCCACCGCCACAGCCACCCCCACCACCTCCTCCAGAGACATATTTCTTGTAAGCTACTGGATATCCACCCCCACCTACAGGATAACCCCCTCCACCTCCATATCCACCTCCACCTCCACCTCCGCCCATTGGATACCCCCCGCCACCTCCGCCGTACTCGCACTTGGTGCAGGATCTCTTCTTGCGGGATTCACCAGTTGGGTCACCATTTTGTTGAGTTGCTACGCCATCTTTAGAATCATCGGAGGCTACCGCTTCTATTTCTGATTCATGTTGATTACCTTGAAGCAAAAACATGCCATTGATATGATTTTCTTTACACACAGTGGAACGGCGGTGGATTAGCCGGTAAAGTGACATGCCACTAAGGGAACATCCGATGTGGGTCTATCTGGATTCCTATCCACTGGGTACTGGAACCCATGAGAGTGGTCATTTTGCTTCCCTTACTCAAAGACACGACAGGGTGTGGAGGAGAATGTTTTGACCGAAAAGAGATAAAGTGGTAGGTGTGAGAAATTTGCATAGTGAGGAGCTTCATAACATGTAATCTTCGCAAAGTATAATTAGAATGATCAATTCGAGGAGGATGAGGTGGACAGGGCATGTAGCACACATGGGGGAGAAGGGAAACGCATATAGGATTTTGGTGTAAGGCCAGAAGGAAAGAGAACATTAGGAAGAAGTAGACGTAGGTGGGAGAATTATATTAAAATGGATCTTAGAGAGATAGGAATGGGGTATTGTTAACCTGCTTGATCCGGCTCTGGATAGAGACCAGTGGAGAGCTCTTGTGAATAGGGTAATAAATCGTAGCTTGAAATAAAACGTTGGGATATTCCTGAGTGGCTAAGCGCCTGACGACTTCTCAAGAAGTTGCAGATTCCGCGGAATTAGTTAGTTAGTTAGTTAGTTAGTTAGACAGGGACAGGGACAGTTTCATGTCTACATTTTGTACAGTGAATATGATGACAGAATGCATAACTTAATCCCCACGTGTCTAATAATTAAGCCATATGGAAGAACGAAATTCACGCATTCTGTATCTCGCCTGTAAATGGAGTTGAATGGCCACCCGAAAGAAGAGATCCTCACCTCCCTCTTCCACGTCCTCGTCACTGTTTCTCGCGGCCAACAGCAGTAGGCTGGTCAGGACACTCCCTCCTTGCTCTGGTAGCACCTTGTTGTTCGTTAGAGCCATATCGGGGTCCTGAGGTACGGTCAGCAGGTTCACCAAGTACCTCACTCTTGTGCCTGGACCTACAGGCACTACCATAGAGCGCAATCTGGTAGCAGGCACTGGAACAAAGCAAGGAAGTTACAAGATGATCGGGCGAAAGGATCATTACGTCTATTTAACGACGGAGTTGTAATTCGATATGAGCTTCGTGCAAAACGTGAGCTGATATTGAATCCACGTGACAGCTTTAATGTCCACCCCAGTATGAAATGTAATAGAAATATGTCGACTCATTCTGTGCTTGAAAAGAAGTGCGAAATTCAAATCGGTATCCTGAAGAATATTAATATGTTCTTGTAATTGCACGAGTACTGATGGGCTCCTGACCAGTCAGAAGTAAGCAACAAAGCACCTTGAAATGTTGGCTAGTTTGCGTGTTATTGATATTTGCCCCTGCAGTAATTCACTGAACATCGTGACAGAGTGGATAGCGTTCCAGCTTCATACCTCGAGGATCCCAGATTTAAACCCGGCTACACTTACTGAGGATTTCGTAATTTTACTCAGTCAATCCACTCAAGTACCTCAAATTAGTCCACTACCGCTTCCTTCTGTATCCCTTTCAATTCATTATTAACTACCCATTCTACGAGTATCACTAGACGCTACCAATGGGTGTATTTTCTGAGCTACTGACATCGTCATTAAATACACCGAAAATAAAGGAATGGACAAATATTACAAATCAAAATAAATATGTCTTCTGATTGCTATTTCCCCTCCTCCTACCACTTAGAAGTACATGAGCCTCATGAAAACAGATTTCGACCTCTTTTTTTTTTTTCCTTGGCACTACAGCTCCAGTGGACCTAGGCCCACCTCCATGAACTTCTCCGTTCACTTCGGTTTTTGTAAATCTTACACATTCGGTAGGACTCCTTGGGCGGGTGATCAGCTCGTCGCAAGGCCTCTACCCGTATACAAACACAGAAAAACGCACACACAAACTAAACATCCATGCCCTGAGTGGGATTCGAACCCACGATCCCGGTTTCCAAGCGAGCGAAGACAGTACATGCCTTAGACCTCTCGGCTACCGTGACCGGCGATTTCGACCTCTACGTTTCAAAATGTTCGTTGGGTTACCATTTTGCAGTATCATTTACACATGTAGTACGTAGGCATGTGGATGGGAAAGCCAGAAAAAGGAGACCATTGGGAAGACCAAGGCCTAGGTGGATGGACAATATTAAAATGGATCTTCGAGAGATATGATGGGATGGTATGGATTGGAGTGATCTGGTTCAGGATAGGGACCAATGGAGGGCTCTTGTGAACACGGTAATGAACCTCCGGGTTCCATAAAATACTGAGAAGTTTTTGAGTAGCTCCAGAATTGGCGGCTCCTCAAGAAAGGCTCAGTTCCATGAGTAAATAAGTAAGTAGGCCTAAGTAGGCTCTATTTAATAATACAGTAAAACTTGGTTATAGCAACATCGGTTTCTGCGACACCTTGTCTATTGCGTCAAATATTCAATGGTACGAACTAATTCCTCATAAAGCAACTGTTTTTATACCTTGCTTAGTACGACATGCACAAATGCATCAACCTCGTATGTAACGTCATTTTCATTCCTGAATTTCTCTGATATGGACATTGAACGTAATTTAGAAAGTGTGTATTGGGCAAGTTACAGGAAACAGATGAAGATAACTGATTACTGTACTCGTATCTAGGTACAGTAAGGCACAACAATTGATGTAATCTACTGTAATTTGGTGAGTAGGCCTACCTTTAATATACAGTATTAGTGCGGTGTGTATTGTCAGTGAAAAGCGCTGTAATATGTCTTTGATATTACACATTTGGGCAATTCCACGTTAATGTTACGTTAGTCTGTACTTAACTACGTATTTCACTAAAAAATGCATCATTTTTAACTCGGTTTTTGGTAGATTTTTACGTGACTAACATAACGCTACTGTGGAAGTGCCCATTTCGGTTACAACGACACTCGTTTATAACGACACTATTTTTAGGTCCCTTTGATGACGTTATAACCAAGTTCTACTGTATATTAAAAAATGCATTTAGTTACAGTTTATAGAACGACGTTTCAATATCTCAGTCTAAGGGCCCGTTGCGTCGAACTGGGGACTGGTTCGTGTATAGTGAACTGGAAAGAGCGTAGTTTGAAACGGGAGCGGTGTGTTGTGAGGAAGTGTCCCAGCCTTTGCCCAGAGTAATTGAGGAAAATTGTGCAAAACTCAAGTCAGACTAGCTGGATTCTAGAAAAATATTTGATTCCAGGACTTCCGGAACAAGAGACAGGAATGCAAACAACTCATCTCCGATGTTCGGTTAATATGTTCTAAAATAATGTACGTGTACATTCAGCTTCAAACACACTCATTATAGTCATATGTATAGTATTATGACGATAAATCGCTTAGAGAAAATGTAGACTTGGTCTTCAAGTAAGAACACGGCAAAGAGGATAGAATACGAATTTCGGTATATATATATATAATTCCTGTATATGCGCCAAAGCTAATAAGTGGAATGCTTGTTACATACGCACAAGGAAATAATCTTATCCTTTAATCACGAAGCATTTATATGTACTAGTAGCTAGTGAAGTTCAGCCAAAATTAGAACTCCTTGAACTCTTTGAAGCAGCCTAAACGTGTGGAAGATAACAATACTCAAGATATTTCAAATATGAAAAGAAAAACAAAACACATTTCTAGTCTTCCAGAAGATTCACCATTACTAGTTAATGTTTGATTTCAACAATCGTACACAACATAGAATTAAACTTGTGACTGTAGCTTGCATCTCCATATTTATTTACCACAAATAACTTAATGACACAAAATTTCCTGTACGGTTTCAGTGAAAATAATTATCATAATATAGTGCCGGTATGTCAATTTATCTGAATTTAAAAATTACTGCCTGTAGTTGATTTATACTCAACATTTCTCATTATGACATAACCTGTTATGTTACTGGACATGTTGTGATGTTGTAAGAGTTGGTGGTAAGGGTTTATTCTGAAAGTTGTTACATTAATTCTGTTTCGAGCTTCATCCAAGGGATATGGTCAATATACTATATGAAGCTTCAATCAAGCTATATAATTTTTAGCTTATTTTCTTTTCCTTTAATAAGTAAACCATAGGTGTGTGAGATTTCCTAATTTCAATACGGCTCTCCGTACAAAAAATTGCAAGTGATATGATTCTTAGGGCATAATTAAGGAGTAAAAAATTCTTTCGCGATGTATTTGGTTGTGGTGTGCATTTAATGTTTCGAAAATAAGATGTTTCGTTCCTATGCAGTTATTCAAACTTAAGCGTTCTTAAGTTTCGAAGAATATATTCGTATCTACGTCTTATGATAAATGGATGGGAGTAATTTATGTTTCACAAAAGCATGAACCTTTAACAATTAAAAAAAATTCTAGAATTCTTAAAAAAATATTCTAAATCAAATATTTTATGAAACCAACGTTGATCCAGGCAAGTTTAATAAGAAAATGCATTTTTGTCTGAAGGCCTCAGCTTCACTGGTGCCTACTGCTAGAACTAAGCTGAATATTCGTATAAATGTAAACCTATCAAATGTACGTATTCAGGTGGAAAATAACACTCACACGCACACACTCTGCCACCGAACCGCAAGCATAAATGTAGGCTTTGTACCCTTTGATTCATAGTGTTAATAAATATTTGCTTTCAGGGAACCCGAAGTTTCAGCACCGTCATCACGGTTTCTCATCAACAGCTACTTTTCCAATGTAGCCTTAATTTTTTTTTCAGTCTGCGGCCATTTTCCTCCTAACTGCAAATTGGTCGCCGAATTGGTACCTGCATTTGGAGCATTCTAACGATTTTTTTCCAAATTTACTAGTGCCACGTGAATCCAATTAGGAAATAATACTTTTTGATATAAAGAAGCCTAAAATATTCGTTAAAAGTGCCAATTTTTGCATCGGTATAATTAGCGTTTTGTGCATAACAGATTATATTTCATGTCACTAATACAAATTACACTAGTTCGTTTTTAATTAAATTTAAACAAATTATCACTTTACCTGTTCTGGCGTCTTCATCTTCAACTCCTACTGCCAGATGGCAGGCAGTGAGTGCCACAACAATGGCCAGGAGCAATCCCATGCTTCCTCTTCAGCTGGCCGTTCTCTCGAGTGATGCCGGAACTTTCTGTGCTTGTTTATATATGCCTCAACATATTCCCGGTTGGCGTGATCTATCTTCCCAGCGAACAGGAAAGAAAAGAGTAAAAGGGCGTGGAAAGTATGAAGATGTTATTCATCCAAGTGGAACTGTATGCAGAAAGGGACAATTAAAAACACAAAAAGTACAGTATATGACCACGTGCATCTTGTACGGATATGATACAGACTTAAACGCATTTGTTACATAAGCCTGGATGTGTGCTTATGGATCGGATGATCGCATTCGTACAGGAACTAATGACGTCATTTTGCCTTCGTTTTTACCACGTACAGAAAGAAAATTTACTTGTTTCGAAGTTCCTTATATCGATCATATATCTTCAGTTTATTACATAATTGTTCCAAGTTATGTAGGCCTTGCGCCATAGCTCAAGCGGTTAGTCACTGGCTTCCTACCGTGGCGGACCGGTTTCAAATCCGGGGTTGGTCAAGCGGGATTTGTGGTGGACAAAATGGTGCTGGGGAGGGTTTTCTCCGGGTACTTCGGTTTCCTCTGTCAATCTTCATTCCACCAAATTCTCCATCATCATAATCACCTGGGGCAGGTACAATAGGCCAATCAGTGGCCGCCGTGCCGAGTGGACCCAACTGGACCCCACCCTCCACTATGCGAATTAAAAAAAAATATGTAGGCCTTGCGGTAATGTATCTTACATGTTGAGGAACGTTTAATGTATATAGCAGTTTGTTTACCGACGATATGGGTAGCTCGGAGTACACGGGATGATTAGTCGGTAATGATTTCACAGAAGGCTGTCCCTGTATTTTTCTGGAGGGACTGAGGGAAATCATTACAAACCTCAGTCACTTTAGGTTGTGTCATGGCCAAGATCTGAATTCTGACCTTCAGAATAGGAAGAAGGAAGCACACCCACTCGACGGCAAATTTCCGAAACTTTCTTTATTGTTAGAAATAAACGAGTGTTCGATGTACACTACTACTGTGGAAACCTTGAAACCTGTCTTCATTCCTAACGGGTTACCACTCTTGAGGCAGAGAAAGAGGTAGGAAGATAATATTAAGACTGATCTTAAGGGAGCAAGGATGTGAAGAGATTCTGTTTCGTGTTCATTTGAAGCGTTGGTATTGTGACGCTGCTAGACAACGGGTCGATAAACACATTCTCGCAGAAGCAAACACAAGGAACAGTAGGACGTCCATTAAGAGGTAACGGACAACTAAACACGCATTCTGGACAGTAGAAGATTGTGTTTTATTCTGTATGATGATCCAAGCCTTAATCTTACGTAAAACACAATATCACAGTGATAATTCATCTGCTTGATTCTATTTATTTATAAATATTATTTTTTCTGTAAACCATAAATAAAATATATTTCATGGAATAGTGATTGCTTAAGATATAAATCTTTTAGGAGATGATTCTATTCCCGCCTCAGTAATTGGTTGGAGATGATCATGATAATCACATCATGAAGGCGTAAAAAGACAAATGAGGTAATGCGCCTTGTGATCTTACGCTTGCCCATAGAGTGACTAACAACACGCTTCGGATGAGTTTCCTCCAATGGGTTGATATTCCATTGTCTATTGCAAGCTGTGGCGAGCAGAGAGATCCTTGCCTGGATGGAAATCGAATTTTGGTCGTCTAACACGTAGGTAATACGATATTTCAGGGAACGACAAAGTAGAAGTAAAAACAGTCCCACTTCGTATTTGGGATGGGCTGGGTTCAAATCCTGACAGGAAGACCAGCCGTCCTGACCTATGTAAAGGATGGACATGTCCCTGTATTCATCTGGAGGATCATTTCCTCGGATCAGGCCACAACTTAATCTTTCAGTACCCTTTCCAATCATTATTTTCTAGCCCCCCCATCTGGGCTGCTGGACTCAGCTACTGAAAGCGTCATCAAATAAACGATAAAGAATACTGCCAAATAGTAAAAAACTGGTTACAGGGTATGGATCGAGGACGATTCTTAACAGCCGGGCTTTTTAAATTATGAAAATACTTAAGTTAGATATAGAGGAACTTCTCAGGATGAAAACCAACTAATTCTTTTCCGAAGAATAGGCTCTCAATTTTCTAGGCTGCCTTTAATTGAATCAAAAACTTCGGGCGCCTTGTGGTGTTGTCTGTACGTCTTCCCATCAGTGACTATATTACATAGAGGTACATATTATCATTTTGGAATCTTTTAAACATCCGTCATATGTTTAAAATTAAAAAAAGAGATTAAATCTTTAAATAGATTTGTCTGCCATTTTGTGTATCATGCATATTTTTTGTGTGAGGCGTTTTCTGAAATTGTCGCTAAAGAAAATAGTGAACTGTGTGTATGTGGAGTAGTAATCATTAGGCTGATAAAGATCAAAATTAATTTTTATGAATGAATTGTTCCGTAAACTTCCGAGGTAAAATTTAATCAAATAACTGTAGAATTAAATTTATAGAAGGTCTGCTGACATGACCATCTCCTCAATATGAGTCAATTGTATACAGTTCTACTTTTTATAAAGAAAGCAGAGAAATTTATGCACCATATGTAATTCACACCTTCTAAATCTAACAGTCTATTTAATATTTTATTTCTGATCTATATTATGTTTAAATATTTATTCTACCAGATCCATTGATTGTGTCAGGAATTCACACTCTAGCCCTGAGTGCAATTCTCCAACTGTCAAACAGATCCCTATATAAGACTTCCTCTGAAGTCCATTTCTTTCATCACATAACCTAGCTTACCATAAAATTAAAATTTCTTCCCACCCTCTCTTCTCTGTTCAACTTTATTTTATGTTGTTCCTTTTTAAGATTTCAAAACGGAGAACGAGCGAAAACCTAAATGATGAATATATGAGATGTATCCGTGAGGCAACGTTTTGTAGTCGTGATTGCTACATTGTTTTATTTCCCGGCAACTGCACGATGGTCACTGGGAGGCGGTGGGAATTCCAGCAAGCGGAACACCGTAGTGAAGTGGTCGAGCCAGAAACTGCGTGCCCACGACGTATCATTTTAAGTTGGCCTTGAACTCTCTCAAACACAGTTCTGTCAGTTCTCCCAACAAGCGGGGATGAAGATTGTTATCAGTCTACGGGGAAGTCCGACTAATTTTGCGTGGGTAAAATTACCTACACGACTGGAAACAGTGAGAAAAGATAGCATACACAACACTGCCAACAATTTCAATCATCGTTGGTCATGTTGGCCATTAGTTGTACTGTTTGGAGTTAGGGTAGCGCAGTGTGTGTGTCAGCTGGCTACGAGCTGGACGGCCGTGGGATCGGAGTTCGAGTCTCGACAGGGGCAAAATTTTTCCCCCTCCACGTCGCCCAGACTGGTTTTGGGGCCTACCCAGCGTCCTCTCCGTTTGGTACCGTGGACTATTTCCCCGGGGGCTAAGCGGCCGAGGAGTGAAGCTGTCCAGTCGCCTCAATTTACTACCTAGGTCAAGAAGGAAGGAGCTATACCTCCACTCCTCCACATGTCTTTATGGCTTAGTGCTTAATTAGTTAAGCACAATGGAAATTTTACCATTTACAAGTTTACTCTTTATCTCAGTAAATTGGTTGCTTGCTGGAAAGCCTACTCTGCAATCTGAAACGAGGAAATCATCATTTGATGCTAACGGAGCTTTACTTACTCGCCCCCATACACTTTCATGATGTGTATCTCTTGCAGAGGAGAATACTATTCTTTCCATTTTTCAGAAATGTGTCGTTGAAAGAACAAAGTAACGAAACATACACTGCGCCGCCAAATAACATTTCGTCCACTCATATTCTAATGGGTAAACTTCTATGAATGTTGAAGTTTGAAAAATGCGGTAGGAACAGGCCGTGATCTGGATTTAGATCCTAGGAAACCATTAAGTGTCTGACTCAGGATACTGTTTCCGAGCTGATAATCGAACCCGGGATCTCGTGAATAAGACCAATAATTACTGGTCACTAAACCAGGAAGATTGTTGTCAGTGTACTATTAATTCCTAAGCCACAAACCTTGTTGCTATGTTCCATGTAACGTTCTCATCCCCGTGTGCGTGAAGTGGTGTTGGACCCTACAGTGCTTTTTAAGGCGGTGGCGCTGATTGTCAGTATACTCTCGGCCTTAGCGGGGAGCAACTTGCCTTCACACTTGACATTTGAGTGCCAAGTACACGGATTCTACTCGCTCGCCTGTGTACGAGCTAGCAGTATGCCACACACAAGCACACGTGAAGACGTTAGCGGGGACGGAAAATAAGGACTTTGCCCCCGTCCCTTGAATGTTTGGAAATCATAGAGCAGTAGTCATGCCTTTCTTTTGGTAGCCACAGGGGCCTCTTGTAAGACCATCAAATTAGGGGAGGATACTAAGGGTACACAAAGACACAGGCGCATAGAAAGAAACACAGACGGCAATGTAATCTCATAAGCCTTCTTTTATTTTTTCAATAACGAACAAATTGCTAAAAATTATAGTAAAACAATAAAGGGGTATACACAAACAAGGCAGACAGAGACAGGCTGATAGGAAGACAGTAAGGTGATCTCACAATCATCCTTATAGTTTTCAAAATAAGGTAAGTAGGCTAAAAATGAGAGAAAATAAGGAAATATGCCAAATTTTATTAAAAAATTAAAACAATTTTAACCTACTTTCCTTATTTGGAAAAATATTTTCTTATTGAAACATGATTCTTATATCTTGAATACTCAAGGTTATTGTTAAAAATATTCTCAAGCGACGTAAACGCATGTGTGTAAGTAGAATTTCTAGCTACCTCTCCCCCACCACAAAGGAAACTGTCTCCCCCTCAAATTTAAAGAATTCTGGCCCAGCGCCCACGCACACACAAAGACTGTCCGACACAGTGAGAGCGCTTGCAGACGGGCAGAGATTTCGGGCGTCGCTGTGAATTCGTCAGTTCACCAACTTTTCAATCCGGAGCTCTTGTGTTCATTTCTCAGTGAGGAGGAAGGCCATGATCCGTAGTACTCTTCAGTCACTCGTAG